CCAGAGCATGTATTTCCGACATCCTTGCTGCTGTTACTAAGGTTATCAGGAACAGCCCTTCTGTGTCAAGAACTCTAATGATGTTCTCTGTAATGGTTCGTAGATGTCACTAGTGAGATGTCGTAGAACAACGCTGAGGTCCCATACCGGAGCTTTAAATCTCTGATGTTGGTCCTCCAATTAAAAGGGCATAGTAAGGCCAGTAACTCTGGTACTTTTGTCAGTTGCACTCGTCCTCATGACGATAACTGATCTCCATGCCGCTAGGTATGTTGAGAGCGTTGACCCTTTTAACCGCTTCCTTTGTCTAGGTGACAAAGGTAGTCCGCCACTTCAGGATGTGTCACTTTCATGGCTGTGAAGCCGATCCTCGAAACGTATCTTTTGTCTCAAAACGTCACTACTTGTCGTCAGACAAGTTGCGTGAAGACTTGCGTAAAGCTAGTGTGACTGCTTTCGCTGCTCTGGCAAAATATCCTCTCTTGTTTAAGCATGCCTGATACCGTCCACACGTGTAGCCGGAACACCTCCGGGTTTCCGTGCGCCTGCTTTGTGTGAGGATGTACTAGTAGATTCGTACACTCTGGTAGTTGCAGTAGAGGCAGTCCTAGGTCTTGTATGAGAATAGGAATTCATATTCTCGCTGGTCAAAAGGTGTGCCCTAAATAGTTGTGGGTCTCTCGCCTGACTGATTTCTGTAATACCCTAGGTATTAGAGCTGGTGGAGAAACACGTAAGTGTTTAGTCCTAGGCAGGAGATGCTTCGCATGTCCGTTGCCCCTGTCCGTGGATCTGGTTGAAGATCTCTGAATGTAGCATCCAGTCTGTTGAGAATGGCTGCGTTGGACAGGATAGTGTATCTGCTAACCCATTCTTGGTTCTTGGAATGTGGCATACTCTGCTGTGGACAGACAGGTTGACTGTTATGCTGATCAACTGAAAGCAGAGGTCCAGAAGGTTCGCCAACTTTGTTGATCCTTCTGTGGATGTAGACCGTCACTGTGGAGGTGACTGTGTGTACCATTAGATGAGCATTTTATAAAAAAGCTGATCCGGTGGAGTATGGCGTTTATCGCTGCTTTCATTTCCAGCATATGGAAGTGCAGATCGCCTCTGCTATGGTCCATATCCCAGCTGACACATTGTTGACAAGGTGTGCTCCCACTCTAGGAGAGATGCGCCCCCATAGAGATGCGCCTTGTACTGCAAACCCCGCACTAATTAGGTGCGCCTGCAACCCTCCTCGCGACGGAGTTCACCATATATAGATATGGGTTATAACCTGTCCGGATCGTCCGTTGTACATTCATGAAGACCAGTAGTGGGCGAAGTTGTAATTCCCTCTGCCTGTAATGTCTTGTGCTGACGCGGCGAAAACCAACAGATTCCGCTACTGTAGTAAAACGGAGAGAGTAGTGCTTGAGATACAAGAACTTGTATCTATATCCTACGATCTTGACACCCTTACCGCGTCTGTAAGGAAATGAAGCGATGGCCGACTCTGTGACTGCCATCGCTATAACTCTATGTAAAAATCGCCTGGCTGCCACGCCCTCGCCTTCAATGATGACAGGGGAGGTCTCTAACCCCATGAAGGCAGCCAAATCACGGGGTCCAGTCTAACTGGACTGTAATGGAGGAGTTGCTCGCCGCTGACATGTTGTTGTCACTTGTAACCCATTTCTTGATCTGTGAACTACGTCCGACCTCTGCTCAGGGCGTTGTCCCTCGCGGTCCAATCAAAACAAAGCATTTTGATTCTTTAGGCTAGCCGCTGTGATGTCACCGGTGTAGCAGGAAAAAGATCCTTGTAGAATCTAGTGCCGCCGCTGATATCTGATCAATCGCCGGTCTTGTCCGTAGCTTTCCGGGTTACACGAGTGACCACGCAGGTCGAGGGTTAAATGGTAAACTCGCGAATATTTCGCTATTTAAGCCGCAATATCGATGCTGGGTAGGCTGTTTTCCTGGCTGCTGTGACTCTTACTTCAGTTTTGAAGATAATGCCATCGTCCTTATACATAGGCTCAACTGAACTTCCACGTTGTCAGCTTGTAGACTGCATACATCAATGAAGCGTCGTAATTGTAGAATTAATGCTGAACTTGTTGTAAATTTTACTCAGGGAATCGGTGACGAGTATGTAATTTCCTAGCTGTAGCAAGGCTGCTGTTGAACTCCGCCAGTGAGAATGTCTGCAGATCTGTACGAAGGTGAAGATCTCCATAAGGCCATGAATCTTCTAATGTAGATATATCAATCTATGTGAATCCCGTCCTGGATTCCGTCTGAAGATCCGAGCTAGTGATGAATTCTGACAAGAGTACCTCTCTTGTACTGTATGACCTATCTTCAGTCTGTGTACCGACGAAGATCTTTTCCCTTCTAGGATGACGCTACTTTGTGTCCTAGTTGAATAACCTCGACGATCTGCGTAGTGATCTGCGTGGTGGTCGGCTTGGTGTGACTGTATGGCTTTGCATGTAGATAATCGTCTTGTAGTCGGGATTGCCTACCTGGCAATATATACGGAAATGGTGATTCCCGTGATGATCTGCGAAGCGTCGTTGATGCCCTTGATGTAGGTAGTTGGTCTGAAGATCCTTTATTAGGCTCTTCATCTGTTGACCGTCTCTGAAGATAGCGCTGTCCTTCGCGCAAGTTGTAGACTATATGTAGCGTTCTGTTAAGAAGTTAAGTACTGCGACGTCTCTGCCTTGTGGATGGCCTGTGCAAATGCCTTTGCGCAGGCTCGGTGATGACATGTAGCGTTCTGTTGAGAAAGTAAGTACTGCGGCGTTTCTGCGTTGTAGATGGCCTGCGCGAATGCCTTCGTGCAGGCTTGTAGACGGCATGTGGCGTACAGTAGAGAGACGAAGTACTGCGATGTCTCTGCTTCGCTGGAGACCTGTATGGGAATCTGCGTGGAAATCGGCGAGGAGATCGACGTGGTAAATAGCCCGACGAACTGTGCCTGTAGGTTGACCTGTAGGTACGCGAAGGTCCTGGTGAATCCTCGACGATCTATAGGACGAAGATGCTTGTATACTGTATCTGACGTCCTTCGCGAAGGCCTCATCTGAGTCCGCACTTGGGGAGTGGCGACTGGTGCTTCGCGAACGTCTTCGCGAAAACGCTGGTCGTCCGATTCTGTATCCGGGGATGGAAGAATTTTCCTTCGCAAACGCTGATTCCGCATCTGGGGGATAGCGACTGGTCCTTCGCGAACGCTGGTGGTCCAATTCTGTATCCAGGGATGGAAGAATTCTCCTTCGTGAATGCCTTCGCGAACGCTGATTCCGCATCTGGGGGATGGCGACTGGTCCTTCGTCGCTTCTCGCTTGGCGAACGCTTCTGTATCCGGGGATGGCAATTCCTCCTTCGCGAACGCCTTCTCGAATGCTGATCGTCCGTGTCCGCCGCAGGGGATGGTTGAGTCGACCTTCGCGAAGGCTGGCCTGTAGTGTAGATCTGCTGCCAGATGTCACGTTGATGGAGGGTCCCTCAGAGACGACGTCTGCGTTGGAACCTTCGCGAGGGCTCGGGACCTCGTTGTGGGCTGTGATGTCTTCTCCAGGCCGTAACGCTGTTCATTTCCTGCATAAGGTCCCCCCGGTTTGAAGGTCTGCGGTGGTAGTAGCGCTGCCCTTTCTGCGTTGATAGCGACATGGCCCACAGGACGCTCATCTGTTGTCATCGTAGATACCTCAGGTACCGTGGAGATCTGCGCTGAAGTCACCGTAGCTGACTGGTCGCTACTTGTGATGAACCTCTGGGAAGATGATCGGGTTGATCATCGGAGAGTCCCTGTACCGTCAACGGAACAATCTCGGCAGAAAGTCCTTGTAGTCTCGCAGAGACGTCCCGTAGAGTTGTCGCCATCTAAGGGGTGTGTAGCCTTCTCTGGGTAGAGGATGGCGCCTATACATCGCCTGCCATGATTGTAGAGCTGCCCTCTCTGCGTTGATAGCGATATGGTCCGGAGATCGCCTCATCTGTCGCCCTCGGACTGCGTGCTGTATCTCTGGGATGATCAGCAGTGGCTTATCATGAAGCCCTCTCACTGGCATCAGGATGAGGCTTCATTCTGCGTGAGGATGGCTTCTTCTACGCCTGCGTTGAGGGGTTGTCCGATGTAGAAGCCAACGTCTTCGGCAGCAAGGTGGACAACATCCCACCCATCCTCCAAGGATATCTCCGCAGGTCACTTGATGGTAGTAAGTCGCCTACAGCAGTAGACAGCTCATGAGGGACTCAGCCAGTTACCCATGACTTGGAAGTCACCTGGATAGTTGATAGTACGTCCTAAGCACGGAGAAAAATTATATATTAATTTGAATTTCAATTAAAAGCTGATAAAGATTACAGCTATAGCTGGAAGTACATATTGTTGTGCAGCTAGGGCACAATCAACGCGGGTCTGCAGCAGCGAATCTAAATCAACAACGAAAATAGGTTATCATGAAATGTAAACAACTGAACAAATACGGACAATACCGTGAATAAACAGTGCTAAATACGATTAAATATCCAACCATATTGTTGTAGGATACTAACTAAACCTCTATAAAAGTAGAATAGAGGAGAATAACTTATTAATTAAAGGATATAGTGCCGTTTAGGAGACACAGGTGCTCTCACAACCTGCCCACAGGGCGAAGAAGGAGAGAGTGAGGCATGTGGGCAGGGTGGCGCCACAGTTTCCTGCCTAAACGGCTGGAGAGATAACTCTTGGTAGGAGTGATTTTACGTCTATTCTTTATTGAAGGGAGCTTCAATAGGAGATACAAGTGTTCCACTATGTTCGCAAGAAGAAGAAGACAAGCAAAAGAGCATGAGTCAGGATAAGGAAAAATAACATATACTCTGTTTAACAATACACAGTGGGTAGGAATATGTAGAAATAACACTACATTGATATAGAAAATATAGCTTGTCTCATCCTCATTCTCAAAGAATTTGTTTTGTTCTGATTATATTGAATATTAGTTTTTGACATGTTCATGTTTACAACCTTGTCCATGTTTACAAATAATGCTAGCAACGACTCAACATCGGCTGATCTCCAGTGCAGAACTTCTGCCATGGCTGCCATCAGCAGTGGCAGATTTCGATGGACATTCCCGCCAATCTTCAACAAATGCACTCAGCTTTCTATCACACCTTCTTACAACTTACAGTGACATATCATTTACAGTGAAACCATAAGGAAGATTGTTTTTATGGATGGCAAGTTGTTTATATTGAGGAACACAACGTTTCGGTGTATATCCAAACTCTTTCATCAGAATCTACAAACTTCCAGATAACAAAACAGAGGTGCATAGTTATGTGTCTTTGTTGTCATATTGGAATTCCCAGCAGTATTAATCTGAAATGTCAGATCTCCAGATTAACAAGCTTTTAATGTATATGACTACAGCAGATGTAAGAAGACACAATTACAGTCGGACGTTCTTTACCATTATGCACCACAGTGATAACACCCCATTCCATCAAGTGGGGTGTGTGTGATGCATCACACAGAAAAACATGTGGGTGGTGTGTGCTGCTAAAATTTATCACAAAAATTTAGGTTTGTTATTGATGTCTGTGTGTTAAATATTGTTACATAAAATGCAGATCATCAAAATATGATACAGTCCTGAATACAAACCCACTGTCCCCTAACCCTCTGATAGAGAAATCCCTCCTGAATGTTAAACACTTGTTGAACATAAAAATCGTTTTATACTAAGTATATAAAATTCAACAATGGAACCAACATGAGCTGTAAGCATGCGGTAGTGATTGGTTGTCATGTTTGATTAAGTTCTCTCAGTACTCCCTTTCTTCATGCCAGGCTTCATTTGACATGTTAATATGCTACATACTCCCTCCATAGTTCAGATTATAAGGCACATTGGGTTCTTTGTTTCAAGATTCATGAAAAACAATTGTTCAGGAACCGTAAGACTTTGCCTTATTGGCAGCATCTCTTGCCCGTTGAATGATCCCAGAACATTTTTCTCGACGAAGGAGTTTGTTCCCTTCGAAGTACCCCTCGTTACGCGGCAATCCATGTGTCTTGTCCGAGAATGTGATCAGACCTGAAACAAAGCAACACAAAGTGATCATTTTATTGTTTGAGTGAATAAACGTAAACTGTTATTTTACTTTTTAGCAGACATCAGACAGCTGTACATGAGGGATTAAAACCGACTCTGGGGTTTTGTTTGAAAAAGTTAGCTAGCGACAGAGGGAAATTAGGGAGGGGACTTATGAACCGACCAAATATATACTTTAGATATAATTTCAATATTTGGTATTTACTGTTGAAATCGACTGGGATGTGACTGGCAGTTGATACATTGCCTTGTACGAGCTACCCGTGTCCTGCACGTGCTACCTGTGACCTGCACGTACTACCTGTGTCCTGCACATGTGCTGCCCGCACTACCCGTCTTGTGAGGAACACATGGTTCATACTGACAAACAATCTTATTCTTCACAGCGATCCTTCGTAGCCTAGTGGATAAAACCACCAAGCTAGTAAGCGAAGGGTTGCAGGTTCGAAACAAGGCATCTGCCCAATATATTGGAAGTTTACAATAATGTGATATTCAGCAATAGCAGACAAAGTTATATCAATCTTCAAAACTTGTACCAGTCAAATAATTCAAAGTCAAGGGCTATTATTAATATAAATCCTCGGGAAAATCCCTGGGATCCAGGCAATTCTGTAGAAAATCCCTAGGATTTCTTGGAGAATGTCTGCGAAACTGCCTGTAGAGGTTTACTCAGTAAAAGGAGAACCTGGCGAGACAATAGTGTGAGGTCACTAGAGGTTTATAAGCAAAGGACGACAATATGTAAGCCAGATGCCTCTTTGATCATGTGGACAAGGCGCCGACCTCACATAAGAAAGTGTTTTTCTAATCCAATGATAGGACTCAGAAATTTATGGCCCCTTCATTGATGCTGAAAACATTCACAGACATGATGAGACTTAGCAGCCTATTTTCAGGGTCAGGAGGAGCCTTCTGTTGACAGGGAATATGTACAGAGTTTTGAATCATCCTATAGATGACATCGGTACGTCATCAGCTTGGATACAAGCTGTGAGAACAAAGCTTGTCATGCAAATAAATACAGCAAAAAGTCCATCAAGTCCGCTTTAGTTTCCTGACAGATGAGGTGATGGAATCAAATTCATCAGAGATATTGGTACTTTATTAATTTGACACTGGAAGCTTCAAACATCCATGAAACCTAAATGGTTAAAAAAGTTAGTTGTCATGGTAACTCACCCATGCCCCAGATCTTTCCTTCCTTGAACTCTCCCTCAAACCGCATGTTGTCGCAGCGAGTGAAGATCCCGTAGCCGTTGAACTTGCCCTGTCTGAACTCACCCTCATACCTGCAATAAACCACACACAGGTGATGCTCCTCACATACAGATGATGACTTCTATATACAGGTGACAAATCTCACATGCAGGTGTTGACTTTTATATACAGGGGACACCTCTCACATGCAGGTGAGGACTTCTATGTACAGGTGACACCTCTCACATACAGGTGATTACTTCTATATACAGGTGACACCTCTCACATACAGGTGAGGACTTCTATATACAGGTGACACCTCTCACATACAGGTGAGGACTTCTATATACAGGTGACACCTCTCACATGCAGGTGAGGACTTCTATGTACAGGTGACACCTCTCACATACAGGTGATTACTTCTATATACAGGTGACACCTCTCACATACAGGTGAGGACTTCTATATACAGGTGACACCTCTCACATACAGGTGAGGACTTCTATGTACAGGTGACAACTCTCACATACAGGTGATTACTTCTATATACAGGTGACACCTCTCACATACAGGTGAGGACTTCTATATACAGGTGACACCTCTCACATACAGGTGAGGACTTCTATATTCAGGTGACAACTCTCACATACAGGCTAGGAAATATATAGTTTGACCCAGCTTTACTGAGATGAAACTATTAAAGAACCACTTCAAAAGCTTAATGTTAAATGAATATCTTAAGTTTCGAGACCTAACCCCTTTCCCCAAACCCCAGAGACAGTGGGGTAGCTTAGTGGTTAAGGCGTTTGCTTGTAACACCAAATAACCGGGTTTGATTACCCACATGGGCACAATGTGTGAAGCCCATTTCTCGTGACCCCTGTCGTGATATTGCTGGGATATTGCTAAAAGCAGCATAAAACTAAACTCACTCCCCCAACCCAAAAACGGTTATGAAAGTGTTGAATTCCAGATGTCTGGGGCATGGTTTGGCGCCCTACCTTGTGGCCACACCAGATGTATTTATTGACAACTGCTAACAGCAAATGAATAGCAGTGGAGTTTTACTTCATTCAGTTACTATAAAAACACTGAAAAAATCAGTGAACTAATCTTATCCAATGGAAATCCTGCTGGCTCTTCAACTTCGCCATCCCCAAACTGAAGAAATTAAAATTTTATCCTATATCAAACTTTAGAACTGGCTACTGTGTTTTAAATTTCAAAACTTATTCAGCTCCAATTCCTATGAAACTGAAACTTTGACATACAACTATAGCTTCCATTATAGCCATTATACTTAGCCTCAATACATGTGAATAAAGTTGGACTAGCAAGCATGTTAATTTCACAAGTTGCTCGAGAAAAACTACAGAACTACCTGGAACCATCTGGGAACCTCATGACTCCATTCCCTGTACACAAGCCATTGTCAAACATCCCCCCAGAACTCTGACCCATCAGCAAACTTCATATGTCCGTAACCATGGCGTTGACCATTTTCACTCCAATTGCCCGAGTAGGAGCTTCCATCAGGGTATTTATAGGAGCTGGCCATATTGCTGATTGAGATGCAAGAATCACTGAAATATAATCAATAACATGTATAACTAAACGAGACACAGATTAACAATACTGTTATCAATACTTGGTGTTGTACAGAGACTGTAGCATTAATATGGTTATGGCTACTCAAAGTTCAGGAAACAAAGTTCACAGAACACAAATTGGGGTTCAAAATGTTAACTTTTGAACTGAAAAAGACTGACCCATGGTTCTGTAAATAATAATAATAATAAAACATTTAAGAAATGTTCATTCTGTGAATTATTGCCAAACTTACAAGTAGAGGTGTTATTGTGGAAAACACCAACGTCAAATCCACTAATTTTGACAGTTCCGACTCTGTTCGCAGTTATTGCGTTCGTTGTGATCAGCACCTCACTGTTGTTCAATCTTCGATGTCTAAGGGCTTGAAAAATCACTATGACAATTACACAAGAGTGTTATCAGAACAGTCTCGTTCGTGTTCATGCGATATGACTAATGTCACGATCTTGTGTTTTGGTAAGCCAGATTTAGTTACCTACCTGTCTGTCACCTTTTGTTTACCTGCCCACGTGCATCGGTGTTACTGAACTGTCCAACACAATGTCCAAATTATCGTGTATTCCGATTGTAATCTATCGAACTTACAAATTAAACCCGATCTTACCTTAGCCCACCTGACAAGGGCGTGGCAAGTCCTGTGAGTTGGGGTACGTTCTCTTCCTGGTTCTCACCTGTACGTAAAACGTCACGAGTTTGGAGGTCACCCAAATTTGCACCTGTACACAAAACGTCACGGATTCGGGGGTCATGGAATCATGACGTAAGCGGCAGTGTACGGTCAACATGGTTGATTGCGGGAGCCCGCAGTGTGCTCAAGAGCGGCGAAATTTTAGGAAAGAATTACTCTCATGGAGCAAGAAAATTCCCGTCACCATTGGTAAGTGCCTTATTCTAACGATTCCGATAGTTTTCCGCCCTTTAGAAGTCTTCTGGGAGCCTGTTTGAGTCGGAAACTCGCGGCTCATCATTGTCAAATTTTCGCCAATATTTGGTCATCCCTGGGCTCGATCGATACAACGGCACCTTCCGCAGTCAAAAAGAATACTGGCTTATTTTTTGGCGTCGTAGAGGACCAGGCAGTGAAATTGTTGCTTTGTTATCTCAGACTGTTGATTAAACCAGAACAAATCAAAATTTCCCGCTTTTCCGTGTAAGCTTACCTTGATGACTATACAAAATTGATCCTTTTTCACCCAAATTTCCCAAACCATATTGTGCATCATTTTCATAACCGCCATATTTGTGCCCTTATAAAGATTCATCACAATAGCCATATCAAATTCATCTCCGGACATGGTTTCACAGGTGGGGGAATTATTTCGGTGAGGTTTTATATTTGGAAGTTTACCTTTGTGTTATTGATCTTTTTGTAACATAGGTAAGACGAACAACGATCGATGGCTTTTGATGTAGGTTACTGTGCAAGACGTGACCTCGCCCGCACTATGCTAATGAGCCTGTTGAGCGGCTTACTCCGTAGCCTTGGTTTGGTGATGGTGCCACGCTTGGTGCCACAAGACGACAACAGTCACTGGGGGTGAGGTTTTGGAGGCAGGGGAGGGGCAAACGGATGGCTTGATGCGGACCACAGCTTACCGCAGGGCAGGAGAACTGCGACTAATAATTTATTTAAGAGATGTTTGGACATGTTTACAAATTTCGTAGATATGAGTTTTTGAATGTTTTTAATTATGATAATGCAGCTTGTTTATTGATTCTGTTGTAGTTTTCGTTCTGTCATTGTTGGAAGTGTATGGAGGTCACAGTCAGAGTATGTCTGTTTCCATTTTACTAACAGGCCAGTTCTTGAGTTGTCCTATGGGGAAATTATTTTTTAGGGACAGTTTGAGATTAGGAAAATGTCATATGTGGTTCTGAAGAGCTGGGGGGCATATGTAAATTAGATAATGTTTTAGCAGCAGACTGTGTTTTTACATAATCAGATTTTGAGTTGAGAACAAATCATACAAGGAATTGTTTGGGTTTTAGTTGTTGGTATTTTTACAGTACGAATGAGTTAAAATATCATCAGACCCAAATACCCATGTTTTTCTCACCTTACTTAGTGCCATTCCCATTGAGTATTGGCACACAGAAATCAACATGTTGGTTAGGCATCCCAAACATGGGCTACCGTGAATCATGGAATAGTGACTAACAACTGGATGGTTGCAAACCTTAAGCTGTTGAGTAATCATGGTGACGAGAATGAAGAGCGATAATATTTTATGTATATTAATGAAAAGGGGATACAGTTTTTAAATTTCAAAATTAAGATTTTGATGTAAATCATAAAGATCATAGACTATGGATCCTTGCATGGAATGCAACACAGTGTATTGTATGTATCCCTAGGTAGGAAAACTTTAAAAACAAATGTTCCAAACTTGTGATTTTCTTACTATAAGACGTATCTTCTTTCAAGGAAGAATGTACAAATATGCATATTATAATTCCAAACTTGGGATTTGAATGATGGTTCTTATCTTTTAATCCTAGGAAGGTTCTTTGTTCAAAGAATATCTGACTATGCATGGAACCTTTTCAGTCTTCTTTATGAATTTGTTTGTTTTGAAATTTAAGTCAACTCTGCAAAACCATAACATTGGTTACCATATAACTCTTTCAACATAGGTTTGGGCATTTTTTAATTTAGACTAAGGAATTTGTGTTGATATTTGTTGCCTCTGAGGAAGTGGTTAAACTGTAAAGGATTGTTTTCAGATGGCTGTGGCATCTTTGCTATGGGTGAGTGGTGGTATGGTGGGGATTGTTATGATTCCTAATGGTATGGGTTCGGTTGGGGGTTTATTATAATTCCTAATGCTTCCTGCCAACTGAAATTTAACTTGGATTATCGACATCTATAGCTGGTCGGTGTGTGACCATCCAAAGGCTGTAAGGGTCAGAACCATCTCAACTTGTGGACCTGCCATAGATAAATAATACTTGGAAGCTGATCAGAAAGATGGCATAGACATGTTGAAAAATTAGCAGTAAGTTCTATCATGGCAATGTTGGAAAAATTAAACTTTAATTCCTGTTCTGGAAATGATGAAAAAATTTAACAGTAATTTCTATAATGGAAATATTGAAAAAAATTGAACTTTTATTTCTATAATGAAAATGCTGAAAAAATGAAACAGGAAGTTTAATTATGGAAATGTTAAAACACTGTAGATAATGTGTTTTATCATGATAAATGATGTATATGAATATCAGCATTAATATGTATGAGTAACACAGTCATATGGTTGAAGGGTTGTGTGGACACAGGTTTAAGTATACACAATAAAACTGGATTTCAAGTTCCTGGTTGAAAGGGGGATAGCCAGGGGCATTTAATATACAATAGATTTGTTTTGTAGCATTAACATGACAGCAGGTTATAGCTCAGTCTAAACAGGTTCAATAATAGCATATTATATTTTCTGAAATAGTTGTTTTTAAGTTCACTGAGTCCGAAAGATTTTGCACATTATCACCTTTGTCTGAATGATCTCATGTCATTCAATCAAGAAGCTTTATATATTTTGTACCGTTCCCAAATTTAGAAAAATAAATTAAGGGCACAATTTAACACATTTTAAACAATATTTTGACCTCTATAATATATATTAGGCATATGCACTCACAATTAATGCTGTAAAAGACTTATTATCCCTTACGACTTGCCTGACATTGATAATTGAAACTTTGAGGCGAACAGCTTCCAAACAAAACACTTGCCATGTACGGAATGTAAACAATTGCTCCGTACATCGAAAACTGTCACACACGGTGTTGTTGGTGTTTGCCGAACTGGTTGATATTCGTAAAGAGCGCTCCAAGGGACATAACTATATGGTGTTCGCTTAAAATAATGGTCAGCCGATAGAGAGCATGCGGGTCGATTCAATGCAACGTTACATTAATTCATTTGAACCTTTTACTTTATGTTGTAATCTAAATACGTTTTTTGGATAAAGTGTAAGGTAGCTTCCCTGAGGGCTGATAGTTAGTATTATTGAGAGAAATGAATTATGTATTTTTAGAGAAGTGTGGTGTGAAATAGTGCCCTTAACAACAGTCTGTCAGTATCACAGAAAAGACAACCTGTAGAAATACAAGATGTTTTGGCATATATTTATTTCCTGTTTTCTTTCCTTAACTTATAAACAGGAATTAAACAGTTATTTTAGGGCTTGTTATCACGATGCTGGTTGTCGTCAGACCTGCTGAATGAGATTTCGTGATCAGTCAGCAGTGGTAAAATTCAGAGAATTCATGTCCTGCTTAAAATTCTTTTAATGTGGATGAAATCTGCAAGTAGAAAATTTCACAATTGTTCACAATGTACTGTATTTTTGTATCTTGGGTCCTTTACAGAAGTTTGTGCCCAATAATTATATTATTATATCATATGTAATATTTTTCAGCCAAAGTAATGGCTTGGTATGGTTCACTGAGTCTGTACTAAACTCAACCTATACCAGTGTAAAACACTTCGCACAATAATTGTCTTGAACAAACTTGTTTAATCAGCATACTGCATTTGTCATAGCTTATTAGAAAAGTTATTAAATCTTCAAAGATTATGACATGAAATATTACTCAAAAGAAAATTAAGAAATAATCATACATCACTCTTTTCAAGTATGAACAACAGTTTTGTACTCGTCCAGACATATAATATTTTCCCTTGAACAATGAATTGTTAGCTGTTATGTGTCCTAAGTAAATATTAATAATTTCTGCAATCTTTCTTATATATATTTCCTCAAAGTAATTATTTTTTTCCATCTTTATTCATGCCTGCCTATTAATGCTCACATGCTCAAGCATGAGCCTTGAACATTTTTTTACAAGTAATATCATTGTTGAAAAAATCTTTTCATCCTGTTTAGTGTTCAAAGCGTGTTTTTCCTCGTCAACCACACCATCCCCTACTTGAAACATATTTCGGCCTTTTCTTCACATAATCATTTACTTTCTCCGTCACATTTGAGTGTATGTAACAAGTCACAACCAAAATGGCAATATAATGACCTATCTTTAATAATTTGTTTCGCCCTTCTGTGCAAACACATTTTTCTGTTTGATTCTGCCAAATACACTGTCTGTTTTTTTCATAAATGAGTGTATTTTATTATCATCACTAAGAACTTGAAAGATATGAAAATATATTTTTTAGTTCAAATTTTTCCTGTACATATTTAAATTTCTTTTATTAAAGATGAATTTGTCTGATTGAAATATGTTCTTGCCCCAAGTGTTTGTTCACTTCAGCTTCACAATGTAAATGTGGCCAGTCTTAAATCCTAACGGTGTAATGATACAGTTTATCAATTTCTAAGAATATGTGTCCTTGCATATCATGTTTTATTGATTTAACATTTTTTTATTGAAAACAAGTTTTATTGAATAATGCCATGGTGAAGACACCTAGCTTAAGGCTTTCTCCCCTACAGTATCCCATTTCCGTTCTTGAAATTTGAAAGAAGATGGCGTATGAGCGCTTGAAGTAAGAGTATTGTATCAGGATACAAACTGTATGACACTCAAATGATTGGTGTACATATTGTATCATGGTTTCGTTGTATCTTAACTCCCCTGTAAATGCAAGCGGATGAGTGGATTTTTCAAGACTATGAACAGTTTGACTTGAATGTTTGGATTTGAGCTTCCTGTGGGCAAGAGAGAAACTTCTATGCATTTATGTTGTTTATGTTTATTTATCTGAAGATCGAAGGGCTATTACCTGAAAAGGATAAAGAAATCTGGTAAATACCAGATATATTGTGAGATATAATCAAATGCAGATAATAAACTTGCACTAACTTTTCACATAGCACATGAAAAACATGAAATTTGTTTACAAATCCGGGTTACTTAAGT